AACTGTTACTCAGAAGGGAGGAAGCTTCTCTGGATGAGAAGCAAAACCTTTTCAGTTTTTTTTCCTTGAAGAGGTTTCGCTTCTCATCCAAGAAGCTTCTTCCATTCTGATGTAAGGATTGAACTGTTACTCAGAAGGGAGGAAGCTTCCCTGGATGAGAAGCAAAACCTTTTCAGGTTTTTTTCCTTGAAGAGGTTTCGCTCCTCATCCAGGAAGCTTCTTCTTCCTCTCTCAAATCTTTATCCCTGTCTACTTCCACATTGTAACCTGTCATTTTAAACTTTTCTCCTTTCTCCACCCTGTTCCATTGTCTAATGTTCAAAATGTCTGCTCTTGCTTTTATTTGTGTTGGGATTGAAATGCTAATGGAGGTTCCCTGCTGGGAACTCAGAGACTGTTACGGCTTGTGAATCACCTACGGATGGGGGTGGGATTCAGCTGGTACAGACCAGTTCGGATGAACCAATGATTACACCTGTTGAATCCCACCACTGCCCACAAATACACCCCCATTCCAATCCTAAGTCTCTAGCTGCATATCTTAGAGTTAAAAAAAATTGATTTATTAGAAGTGGCCATGTTGGCGTTGGTGCTGGATGCAGTCGACACTGAAATACATCCTTCATTTCCCCCTTGACCCTGCTCTTCCCCTCACCCCCTGGATGTATATTCTCCAATGGGACACATCCATAGCCAAGAGTCATCCATCATACTCTCCAGTAATAATCTTGTGCGCCCACAGCTTCAGCTTCCAAGGCGATTATCTGAGGCATTTAAGGAATGCACAGCTTTTCCCCCACTCCCTGTTGTGGTTTGTCAGCAGCAGGTACGGATGGCTGAGGTCTCGGAGAGCGAGGACTCTGATGAGGGGCCTGCATGGGATGCAGGGATGGGGCCAGGACCATCAGGAAGTGGGGTGCTGCCTTCGGAGATTGTGGAGGCTGGCAGCAGTGAGGAAGAGGCCCCCGAGGAGCCTGTGCCCAGTGCGTGTGCACGCAGGGCTGCTCGAAGGAAAGAGCAGCTGCAGCAGCACAGGCGACTTGGGAGTAAGGCTTCAAGGTAATGGCCCCTCCCTGAGGAGATAAAAGCCAGCTGAGAAACCGGAGTTCTTTGCAGGAAGCAAAGAAGTTTTTGCACTCAAGCCTTGTGGACATTCGGAGTATTTTGGTTGGTGTTTGGAGACTCTTTGTGTTTGAAATATTTCTTGGCAACTTTATCTAGTGTTCTTGGCAGCCTTGCACCACATTGGCAAGGCTTGTTCTTATCAGAGACAATTAGTCTGAAACAGCCTTTTAACCGGGAAGGAATGCAATTCGTAAATAATCATTAAAAGGTTTTGCTGTCACCTCTGTCTGGTGTTTGTTTCCTTGGAGCAAGGAACACTCCCTTTCTGCTGGCAACTAAAAGGATCATATTGTTTTAGTTGGCAAAGGCCGGGTCAGAACACCGCTTCCCTCCTGTCCCCTCACAGAAATAGCCTTGCTCTGGAGCGACTGGACTCCCTGGTCCCCCTGTTCCAAAACCTGTTTCTATGCCCCGGATCTGGTTGGCACACGGAAACGTTTCCGGCACTGCAATGGAACCTCGCAGGCCGTGGGGTGCGACGGAGAGGCCGTGCAGGAAGAGGACTGCGAGACGCCTCTCTGCCCAGGTGAGCCGCCAAAGCAACGCCAGTACAGCGTGACCCAAAAATTGGCAGTGGCCATGCCCCAAATTCACTCGTCCAAGCAGGCGAGATTCCGCTCAGATTTCACCGGCTGAATTCTTTCAGGAGGACAGGCAAGGGTGGGATTCCACCGGTACAACAACCGATTCGGGGATCAGGCGTTTGTGTCCAAACGCGCGCGCCACATTTCACACAGCTCTAATACCTTCTTACAGCAGTCCCTGTGAAGAGTCCCTATTCCTGGTTTAGCTCTGATGTTCATCTTAAATTAAGCTCAGTTTTGATTCAAGCTTAATTAAAGATTAACTTGGATTTTCATCCAATAAATTAAGCCCAGCTCTGACTGAAACTTAATTCAAGTTTAGCTTTGTTTTTCATCCGATAAATTAAGCTCAGTTTTGATTCAAGCTCAGTTGGAGATTGATTTTCATCCCATAAATTAAGCTCAGCTCTGATTGAAGCTAAATTCTGGTTTAGCTTTGATTTTCATCTGATAAATTAAGCTCAGTTTTGATTCAAGCTCAGTAGAAGATTGATTTTCATCCCATAAGCTCAGCTTTGATTGAAGCTAAATTCTGGTTTAGCTTTGATTTTCATCTGATAAATTAAGCTGATTCAAGCTTAATTGAAGATTAACTTTGATTTTCATCTCATAAATTCAGCTCTGCTTTGATCAAAACTTAATTATAGCTTAGTTTTGATTTTCATCTGATACATTCAGCTCAGCTCTGATCGAAGCTTAATCCTGGTTTAGCTTTGATTTTCATCTCCTAAGAAAAGCTCAACTTTCAACAAAACTTAATCCAGGCTTAAAACTTAATTGAAGCTGTTGTGGCCTACCGGCGGCTAGCGGAGCTGGCAGCAGAGTTGGACAGTGAGGAGGTTGGGGAGGAACCTGGGCTGGTTCTGGAGGCTGAGGAAGGCTCGGACGAGGGCTCTGCGTCAGAGGCAGAGATGGGGCCATGGCCGCCTGGCAGTTATCAGGAGTTGGAGATCAGTGGGGAAGAAGAACAGCTGGAGCCTGTTCCCAGTGTGCGCATGCACAGAGCTGTCAGAAGAAGGGAACAATTACAAACTAAAGGTCAACGTGGGAGTAAGGTGACAGGTGGATGGTGAATTCCCCTTCCATAGGGATTAAAAGATGGAGCAAAAGGGGAGGGGGCTTTTGCAGGAAACAATTTGTTCGTTGCCACAGTGGGAAGATCTGTCTGTGCATCTCAGAGACCTTGTGCTGAGTCCTTCCTTGTCAGCATTGCGTTTGGAAATATTACTTGGCAGCTCTCCAGGCTAGATAAGGTCTGTGCTCCTAATCACACCCTTGAAAGGCTGTTGGCCAGGCCTTTGGTGGAAGGTGAATGGCAGAATATCTCTCTGCAGTGGAGGGGATCTGGACTCCTTGGTCAGCCTGGTCTACCTGCTCAACGCCTTGCGATTCCGGGGTGCAAACTCGTGACCGTACCTGTTCCAAGCCAGCTTATGGGGGCCCAGGCTGTTCGGGCCCCTTGATCCAGACCCGAGATTGCAACACGCAGCCCTGCAGAGGTAACAAGTTTTAAAAATGGCATTGAATGTTTATATTTACATTGATTTTTTTTATATTTGCATTGTGAATTTTTATATGGTATTTAATGTAAGGTAATTCATGTAATATAACTTAATATAATTTAAATTAAATTAATTAATTAATGTAATGTAATTTTTAATTTACTTTTCTTTACTTTAATTTAATTAATGTAATGTAATTTTCTTTAATTTAATTAATTAATTAATGTAATGTAATTTAATTTACTTCTCTTTTTAAAATTAATTTAATTCATGCAATATAATGTAAAATAATTTACTTTTCTTTAATTTAATTTAATTTATTTAATGTAATGTAAAGTAATTTTCTTTTCTTTTCTTTAATTAATTAATTAATTAATGTAAGCTAATTTAATTTACTTCTCTTTTAAATTTAATTTAATTCATGTAATATAATGTAAAATAATTTAATTTTCTTTAATATAATTTATTTAATGTAATGTAAAGTAATTAAATTTTAATTAATTAATTAATTTAATTTATTAATGTAAACTAATTTAATATACTTTTATTTTATTTCATTTAATTAATGTAATGTAATGTAAAGTACTTTCCTTTTCTTTAATTTAATTTATTTAATGTAATGTAATTTTCTTCAATTTAATTAATTAGTTTAATGTAAACTAATTTAATCTACTTCTCTTTTGTTTAATTTAATTAATGTAATGTAACGTAATTCAACTTAAATTAACTTAATTTTTAAATTAAATTAAATATAATTTAAAAGGTTGGGAAGGATTCAACCCCCAGCTCAAGCAGGAGATCCTTATAGAATTACCGAATTACAAGGTCGGAAGCAACCTTGGAGGTCATCTAGTCTGACTTTCTGCTCGAGCAGGAGAGCCTTAAATAATCACAAGAGTCGGAAGGGACCTCAGAGGTCATCTTGTGTGACCCCCTGCTCAAACAGGAGACCCTTACAGAATCTCAGATTTGGAAGGGACCTCGGAGGTCATCTAGTCCAATCCCCAGCTCAAGCAGGAGGCCTTTACAGAATCTCAGAGTTGGAAGAGACCTTGGAGGTCATCTAGTCTAACCCCCCCTGCCCAAGTGGGAGCCCGCCGGGCTGCAGAACAGGGCAGGGGGGGCGGTGGTTGTCCACCTTCCCCCCTCTTGTCCGGACTGCCCAGCTGACCCTTTCCTTTGTTCTTTCACCTGCAGCTCAGTGCCCGCCCAACATGGTCTACCTGACGGCTGAGGAGTGCCGGCAGAAAGGGGGTGCTTGCCCCCGGCTCTGTCTGGACCGGGACACCCAAGTGGAGTGTGCCTCCTCCTGCCAAGATGGCTGCCATTGCCGCGAGGGCCTCTACCTCCAGAACGGATCCTGTGTGCCGCTCAGCCAGTGTCTGTGTTACCACCAAGGGGACAGTTACCCGCCGGGCACCACCATCCGTCGAGACTCTTGCAACAACTGGTAGGAGATTGGCATCGCCGCCCCACCTTTTCCTTCCATTTACAAGCGGGTCTGGCACAGTGGGGGGGATTCTACCAGTTTCCTTACCAGTGTGAACTCCTCAAATATTTCTATGGTCTTTTTAGAATTGCCAACAGAAAGGGAGGGGGGAGCAGTGCGGCAGCTTGGAAACCAAAAGCGCATTCTATACATAGTTTTTCAAAGATTGTTACTAGGTGACTGAAATTTCTGCCACTAAAAATCCTAACTTGAGAATGTGATTGGATGACTCTTGGCTATGGATGTATCTCGTTGGAGAATGTGATTTATAACACACCCAGCGGGTGGGTGGGGGAGGGAAACCAGGGTCAAGGGGGACAAGGAACGATGTTTCTCAGAGTCGGCCGCACCCAGGCAGTGCCGGACATGTTCACTCCCCATAAATCCTTTGGAAGTTTTGGAAGTTTGCCTCAAGACTCATGATTTAAATGGGGGGGGGGGGACTGATGGAATTCTGACAACTGATTTCCGTGATTGCGCATTTCGCGCAGCTTTCCCCACACCGGAGGAAGTTCTGCCGTGCCAATCATCTGAGAGGATCAAGAAGAGAAAAGCGGGGGACGGGGGGACGGGCCTATCCTGCGCTTTTCTCTTCTTTCTCCCCTCAGCTGCTCCGCAAAGGTTTTTGTTTTACTACTGGTTCCGCCGAAAGGGTAGCAACCAGTCCGAACCGTTAGCATTTCACCACCGGTCTGCCAATCTGGCTTAATTGGGGGAGGGCAGACCCTATTCCCCCTCACCTCGGGGTGCCCAGGTTGGTCCTGGCATCCAAAGAACTTTCCGGATTCCTGAAAGTTAATGGTTTTTTCTGTTCCAGCACCTGCCAGGAGGGGGCGATGGTGTGCGGCACAGAACCTTGCCCAGGTAACTCTTAAATTAGGGGAGGGGGGTAATGAGCTTGCTGTGGGGGGGGGCAGGAGGATCCAAAGAGGAATGAGGAATTCTGGGAGTTGAAATCCTCCCCTCATAAAGTGTGAGGAATTCTGGGAGTTGAAGTCCTCCCCTCATAAAGTGTGAGGAATTCTGGGAGTTGAAATCCTCCCCTCATAAAGTGTGAGGAATTCTGGGAGTTGAAATCCTCCCCTCATAAAGTGTGAGGAATTCTGGGAGTTGAAGTCCTCCCCTCATAAAGTGTGAGGAATTCTGGGAGTTGAAGTCCTCCCCTCATAAAGTGTGAGGAATTCTGGGAATTGAAATCCTCCCCTCATAAAGTGTGAGGAATTCTGGGAGTTGAAATCCTCCCCTCATAAAGTGTGAGGAATTCTGGGAGTTGAAGTCCTCCCCTCTTAAAGTGTGAGGAATTCTGGGAGTTGAAGTCCTCCCCTCTTAAAGAATATTGGCCTGGGGGATTCTGGGAATTGAAGCTTATTCTTATCTCACCCCACCCCTCCTCCTCCGACAGGCAACTGTAGCTGGACCTCCTGGTCCGTTTGGAGCTCCTGCAGCCGGACTTGCAACGTGGGGACTCGGCGGCGGCACCGTGCCGACGTTGGGTTGGAAGGGCAGAACTGCCAGGGCTCCAAGGTGGAGATTGAGTTCTGCAGCCTGCAGCCCTGCCCAGGTGAGAGAGAGAAAGAAACAAGGAAAGAGAGAGAGAGAGAGAGAGAGAGAGAGAGAGAGAGGAGAATAGGAGATGAACAGAGTTGGAAGGGACTCTGTAGATCTACTAGCCCGACCCCCTTGCTCGAGCAGGGGACCCTGGCAGAATCATCGGATTCTTCAAAGGGACCTCAGAGGTCATCCAGTCCAACCCCCCTGCCCGAGCATGAGCCTCTCTACCATTCTGCCCCCCCCCCCCCCCGGTTGTCTTACGTCCCTCTCTGGCATCGGAGTCTGGAACTCAGCTCTTCCACCGAGCAGCAGCCCCCAAAGGCCAAAAAGGCATGGATTCTAGGCACACTGTCTCTGAGCATGTCTAGAGTGCTTTTCCCGCGAGCCGCCAATCACCATAATAGTCACCAGTCCAGTTTTTCCACCGAGAAAGACAAGATGGGCAAAAATTCAAGTCCTTCCAGAATTAGAGTCGGAAGGGACCTGGGAGGTCATCTAGTCCAACCCCTTGCACAAGTGGGAGATCCTTAGAGGGTTGGAAGGGACCTTAGAGATCATCTAGTCCAATCCCCTCCTCAAGCAAGAGACCCTTACACAATTAGAAAGTAGGATGGGTCCTGGGAGGTCATCTAGTCCAACCCCCTCCTCAAGCAGGAGACCCTTACAGAATGAAAGAGATGGAAGGGATCTGGGAGGTCATCTAGTCCAAACCCCTCCTCAAAAGCGGGAGACCCTTACAGAGAGTTAGAGAATCGGAAGAGACCTGGGAGGTCATCTAGTCCAACCCTTGCACAAGTGGGGAGGGGCTTCCAAGAAGTTGTGGGTTTCCAACCCCCCCTCATTCCCCCCTCCTCACTTTTTGTGACCCCCCCCCTGCCCCCATACAGGGTCTGGCGTAGAATGGGGCCCCTGGTCGGCGTGCTCGGTGCCCTGCGGGGGCGGCTACCGCAACCGGACCAGAGCCAGCATGAGCGTCTTGGGCCGGCTTGACTTCTCCACCTGCAACCTTCAGCCCTGCACAGGTGGGCTCGGTTTGCCTTCAATTGATGGATGGATGGAGCAATCAGAATGGAGCGAGAAGGGACCTGGGAGGTCATCTAGTCCAACCCCCTCCTCAAAAGCGGGAGACCCTTACAGAGAATTAGAGAGTTGGAAGGGACCTGGGAGGTCATCTAGTCCAACCCCTTGTACAAGTGGGAGATACTTACAGAATGAGAGGGTTGGAAGGGACCTTAGAGATCATCCAGTCCAACACCCTCTTCAAGCAAGAGACCCTTACACGATTAGAAAGTTGGAAGGGACCTGGGAGGTCATCTAATCCAACCCCTTGCACAAGTAGGAGATCTTTACAGAATGGGAGACTCAGAAGGGGCCTTGGAGGTCATGTAGTCCAACCCACTCCTCAAGCAGGAGACCCTTACAGAATGAAAGAGTTGGGAGGGATCTCAGAGGTCATCTAGTCCAACCCCCCTGCTCAATCAGGGGAACCCCACCCAACCACCACAGACCCTGGCTGTGGTGTCTCCTGGATCAAACCTCCTTCATCGAGAAACCGACTCTAAAACTTTTCCAACTAAGCTCTTTCTGCGGTTCCTTCCAACCAGGGGAGATCCCAGGCACCTGCCCGTCGGGGAAAGTATGGCGAGAGTGCTCTGACGGGCCGGGTTCCTGCGCAGAGCTCAGCATGGACGATGACGCTGGACAGACAGCATGCCGGCCGGGCTGCTACTGCCCCAACGGCACCCTCTTGCTGGTACATACCCCCAAAGTGTTTCCGCTAGCCGTCTCCACCAAGAGATCGGCACTGCCGATCTGTATCTCTGCCCACCTGTAAATCTCTTGCGAAAGTTAGGTGGGGGTTAGGGTCTTTTGGAGGGTATGCAGTCTGACCTAGATTCATGAGGACTAGTGCCACAAGAGCAGAGGGAGCCGTGCCTGGAAGAAGGGGAGGCTGGTGTCTCGAATGGTCGAGGGCAATTCGCCACAGCCAACTCCCCACAGCCAACTCCCCATTGCCAACTCTTCATGGCCAGCACACCATGGCCAACTCTCCATGACCAACTCTCCATGGC